AGAGATTTCTTATCAGAAAATTTTGGAAGGAATAAAATCTTTTATTTATAATTAACAGGCGTGTTTTGTATTTCTGTATTGTTTGTCTTCATACTAGTAAAACTTAGCTCAGTTATTTTTCTATATTTTATCACCTATTTCGACCTTAGATTTTCATTTTGTCAGTTCATATCCTTCATATAAGTTAAATTAATTTGGTTTTTTTCAAAGATAAGTCCTATCAGGTTAGGTGAAGCTATATATGGCTTGTTATTGTTATGGTTTGTGTATAGTTGTCCTCCCCAAAGCTTCAGTGCAGTTATGGGGCTGCTTCTGGCTCCAGTAGGCCCCAGGTTGGATCTAGCCTCATTGCTGTTAGCTTCTCCAGATCTGGCTTCATGGTACAGCCTGAGAGCAGGCTTTGGATCCCAAATAGGTTGCTTCACGTTCTCTGGAAAAACACAAGCATACCCTCTGTCATGGGTTAGTGGTGGACTTGGTCCCTTCCATTGTCCAGTATGGGTCCTCTCCAAAGGACCTTTCCTAGCTTTTTTTCTCTTACATAATGAAATTGTCTTTCTGCTGTTGTACTTTCATCTTTTGTAGAATTTTTAAAATTTAATGCTATATGTTGACAAGTGAAGTTGGAGGATTGATTCTCCCTTTTGTTTTTGTAACTGAATTTTGACTGTGCAGTGAGAAACCTGTGTCCTATATTTTGGAAGAGGAAGCCATATATAGCTTCACCTAACCTGATAGGACTTATCTGTGAAAAAAACCAAATTAATTTAACTTATGTGAAGGATAATGACAGTCAGAGACACCAGAGAAATTAGCCCAGAATCTAGATGGAGCCAATTAATATTACCAAATTGTTATGGTTTGTATATAGTTGCCCCCCCTAAAGCCTCAGTGCAGTTATGGGGCTGCTTCTGGAGTTTGTGGTTGATTATTGTGGGTGTGGATGCTACACCTGCCCTGGGCAGGTAATTTGCATTATAATGTAAGGTGGGAAGAGAAGCTAGCTGCTTGAGCTGCTGCTACCCCTTCCCTTGTGTTCTTGGTCTTTGCCACCACCATCAAAGGCTGCCCTCTGCCATGTGCTAGGCTGCCTTGGAGCCAGCTGAGTATGGACTGAAACCTCCAGTAACTGTGAGCTAAATGAATCTTTCCTTCCTTCAGTTTGACTGTCAGGTATTTGTCTCAGCAATGAGAGAAGAGTAACTAAGGCACAAATAAAGTCTGAAAATCATGAATGGTTGATCTGAACAATTTGGGGCACAATATATCTTTGTTGTATAAATTGACTCAAATATGAAGAAGTTATCATAGCGTGTTCCCCTTTGGAGACCACCACCAGACCTTTTATTACTTAAATGGGATGTCAAAATCAAGCGACTGGACTATTTAAACCTCGCTTTTAGATTGTACTCCAAACCTCTATATTTATGAAATATCAGAGCTTTTTTAATACCAATTTTAATTTAGGACTATAAAACAGGCAGTAAACCTTATTAAGAATTAAAATAATTTTAATCTTTTAAAATATCCCCTGGGGCAGGGCCAGCACAGCAGGCCAGGGGGTTTAATCTGCTGAGCTATTTTGCCCATTAATGTAAATCTTAGGAAATATGATTTTTTTTAAAGCAAACTTTTTATCTTTAGGGTGTAAACCGCTCCTTAATTTAAACACCTTTAGGGGAAAATGTAAAAACTTTTAGTGTCGATTGTAATGGAGAGAGAGAACCACTCTATTTTCTGCTAAGCTCTATTTCTGGGGAAATGGCTTCTTGTCTCTCTCCACTGGGGCAACACATCACAGCGCCTTTGTAGCTGTCCTACCTGGAGGCCATCTACACTTGCATTTAAAAACATATTAGAATGTTTTTCCTTTAATTAACTTTTTTTTTTTTTTTGGTGGAACCGGGGATTGAACTCAATCCCTTGCGCTTGCCAGGGAAGCGCTTATTCCACTGAGCCATCTCCCCGGCCCAACTTTTATTTTTTAACCCAATGTTTCTTTTTCAAAAAAAATTTTTTTAATTGTTGTCAAAGAAAGAATGGCCAATTAAGTGATATGAGAGTCTGGAGTGATTTCAACAGTGTTTTAAGATTGACATATAAGTTTGATTTTTCTCTGTATAATTAGCACTGATGACACTAAAGAAACGTAGAGACCCCTGAATATGGGGGTTCTGCCTCCTGTTGCTTCTACCCCATGGCCTTAAGGCTGGCAAGCTGTTAGCAGCAGCTTGATTGTCTTAGTACCTGGAATGGGTTTTCTCAGACTCATATCCCCTCCCCAAGCTTCGAGAGGGCTATAGCTCTGTAGCCACGGCCTCTGTACACCGAGGCACTGCAGCCACTGTGTGTGCAGGTGTCCCTCTGGCTCTGGCAGATGAATGTTTGCTTTTGTTGACACTGACTCTATCTTGAGCCAAACAAATTTTCGATGCCAGCAATGTGCATAGCCAATGCCAGAGCCACAGCGAGCCATAGTCATGGCCCTCATACTTAGCTCCAGGCGCACAGGCCTGTAGTTGGCAGCTCACGCCAACCTCTGCAGCTGGACCTGGAGCACAGTTGCACAAGCAGCTGGGAAATCCCATCTGGGTCAGCTTAGGACTGGAGCACAGGACCCCTCCCTGAACCCAGTTTGTGCATCTCCCCCAGGGGTGCTGAGCCACTTGTAACCAACTGCTCATGATTTGAAAGAACTTTTCCCTTTTTTATCTAATTGAGCACAACTAGAGGGTTTAAACTGTATCTGTTGTACCTTTGCTTTATCCTCCTTGTCCCATTTGGGACTTGATTTTAAAGCAGTACTCCATGCTAAGTTCTTTATGGTGGTCTTAGAAAGTAACACAAATCCAGGAACCAAGACAACAACAAAAAGTTTTACGTATGTCTGTGTACATTTATGATTCTTGAAACTGTAAATTCTATATAACTTTCTCCCTTTTGACTTCTCTCAAACCTATTTTTCTCTTTAAGCTTGTTTTCTCTCTGGCCATAATAAACCTGTTTCTTGCCCTAATGAACCAGTTTCTGCCCCCTGTGAGCCCCGTGAACCAGTTTCTAGCCCTAGTGAACCCATTTATGGCCCTAATGAGCCTCCATCCCCAAGTTTTACGCCTGATGTGCCAGCACCAGTGCACACCTGTGCTGAATACTGGTTCTAGCCAATTCACTTCCCTCCCTTATGCGCTCTTTGGAAGTATTCCTGCTTCTCACACTTACCTTATACCGGGTATCCTGCTCAGGCACCAAATGTAGAGATCCATTGATCTCTCACTGTAGTCCATTGTACCCAGGGAGAAATGGTAGCAGGAGTGAAGAAAAGATAGAAAAGATGACAAGATCTGGGTCAGGTGGTGGCCCATCTGCCTGGTTGTCAGATGACCCCCAAAAGAATAAGTGCTTTTATTCCTTTACTAAATTGCAAGACACAGGTTGCCTAGCGACTAATATCCCACAATGTCCAGACAGGACATTTTTCTCGAGACTGAGGTATCTTAACTGCTTTAGGCCATGAGGCCTCATCCTGCCCTCTCACATATGATCAGTTTCAGCTTTAGCAGCTCCCAACCCCCCAGACACAACTTTCTTTGGGGATCTCTCTCTCTTCTCCTTTATAATCCCTTCCTGAGCCATGCAGCAAGAACCATTCTCTACCACAAAACAGCCTCACCCTGTCACCTACATACCAGACAAGGCTCCTACCTGACCACAATCTTGGAAAATGTCTCTGTATCTTTCTGATGAGTGAGCATGCTACCTAAAAATCAACCCCTCGGGGCTGGGGACATGGCTCAGTAGAATAAGTGCTTGCCTGGCAAGCGCAAGGGCCTGAGGTCAAGCCCCAGTTCTGCCAAAAATAAATAAATAAAAAAAAAATAAAAATCAACCCCTCTGCTTTCAGAGAAGTCTAGTTGACCATCACTTTATGGGACTGCTGAAACTAAGTTACTGAGTAGTCCCTAAACAGAAAAAATACAACAAACATCAAAAGTTATGCAAAAAAATTCGCTGGAACATTATTAGTAATATACCCAAACTGGACACTATGTAAATATCCAACAGCCATAAATGAGATATACAACTCAATACCATTAGGGCAAGGAGAATGAACAACAAAGAGTATATGTAATTATGGGGGATGAATTTCACAAGCATAAATAAAATAAACCATATATTAAAAAATACACCATGTAATTCTATCTATAAATTAAAAAGAGACTAAAGGCATCATCAATCACGCTATCCATTACTCCTGGGAGCAGGAAGGGAGGAGGACTCCAGGGTACTGGTAATTTTCTGTTAGGTGAGATGCTGTCCACTTTGTGACAACCATTGCATCAAGCCAGACACTCATGAGGGGAAGGCTTTGGGTGTAAGACATTTCATGGAGCAAACCCCTGGAGAGCATCTACTCTCACTGGCATGGGAATAATAATTTCCAAGGGAGCTCAATTATCTTAAGACCTTAGGAGAAATCCATGGGAGGACTGAAAGTAGCCAGCTACTTCTTGTTAAAAACCTGTCTACCAAGGTAAGTCCCCAGAATGTTGTATCCTTTTAAAAATGGAACAAGATATGCTCCTTTAAGAAAACAGCACTTAAAAAATCTGAAATTATAACTTCCGCTTTTATGAACACTAGGAAGACACAATGACATGTATTTTGTTAATCTTGGGTGAAAATCCACTGCAATTCTATAAAAGGATATAGGATAAAACATGCAATGCTTCCCTACCATAAACCCCAACCATCAATGAGGAGAAAAATAAGCACAAGGGGCAAGGTGTAGCCCATCTCTACTAGGAAAGGTTTTGAAAACATACCCTAGCTTTTCTAGGTTTTTTATTTAGTCTAGTTGGGCATACACCTGTATTCTCACTCTGCCTCACTCCCTTTTGTTTTAGCATTAGCCAAATTGGTAGATACTTCTTCCAGAGAAAAACTGACAGCTGGCAAAGGTTCATCAGTAGTTCGTGACTGCCCTTCCACATTAATTGAACTTTAGATACTTGCAAAAGGGAATATAGTTAAAAATACTTCAGTTGCATGCTTAGTTTCTTCTATGTCCTGATTCAATTCAAAATGTTTATCTTTCATGATCATTTTCACTTTGGGAAAGAGCCAAAAGTCACATAATGGCAGATCTGGGGAACAACCATAATGTTTATACACGCTGGCCTTTCCATAAATGGCACTTGAGGCAACATATACTGTGTTTTCTTAAAAACCATACCTTGTAAAGATGCCCATGCGCTTCATAAGCACTCTGTTCTTGTTGCTACTAGTCATTCTCCTGGGGATCTGCCCAGAAGACTTGATTCAAGGGATATGCAAGAGTGAGTTTATACGAGTTCTCATGGAAATACATGGTATGATCAAAAATTGCAGTGGATGTTTAAAGAAAATTATTACAGTAAAAGACACTTTGATGTTAATCACCCTCAGAATACTTCCCCTTCCTTCAAAACATATCTATCATTCCATTTTCTGAAGTAGTTCTGGAAGTCCTCTTTCATGTCTTTAGTTGTCTTTCCATTGCTGCCTCAATATCCTGAACTGACTCCAGACATCTATGTTGGGAACCACTGAAGCTGGAAATTGGCCAAATATGGGCAGGAAGGACAAAGCAAGCTACCTCAGTCTTCAAAAAAGCATCCTTCCTGGTCAATGTCAGCTATTTGTCACTAGGTAACCTTGTGTCACATAATACTAACTGCAAAGGTATAAATAAATGTCCCTACTGCTGTTCTGGGGCTCTTCTCACCGACCAGGCAGATGGGCTACCACCTGACCCAACTTTTGTCTTCTTATCTATCTTTTCATCATTCCTGTGTTTCTCCTCTGGGGTACCTGAGACACCAATGTCCGTACACATCTACGTTTCATAGTTGGGAAAGAGCAGGTAGTTGCACAGTATGGCAATGCTGAGGTGAATGAGGATTCACCATAATGTGTTTACAAGCCTGCCTTTCTGTTGGATGGCATCTAGGCTAGCATTCACCATATTTTTTTTTTAAATCACACCTCGTAGAGATACTGATGATAAGACTCAGGACATATGAGAACTTGTACTGTAATGTCATGTAACTAGGTAGTGTCCCAAATTTTCTGATCAAGGAGAGTATGGGGCCAAAGAGGAAAGTGATCGATGATGTAGAGTGTGCCTAAGGAGAGTCACATGGAGAGAAAACATTCTCTCAGGCTTTCACAGAGAGCACTTGGCCAAGCAATGGCCGTGACTCATCCACATGGCTGATACTGACAAAAGTTCTACAATCTGAGGTACAGGATCTCAGGATAAATCCTGAAGGGATTTCACTGACCTTATCAGACCCAGAATCTACAACTCTTATTGCATAAGCCCTGCTTTACATTGGTCTTAACCATCCAGCAGAAAAGTGCAAAAATGAAGTATAAGTAAAGCCATGCTGTTATGTTGAGCTGTAGGGGACTCAGGTCAACAATTTCTGACATTGCCAGTGAAGCAGAAGACTCAATACTATTATGGACTACTGGACTCTTTTAGAATATTTTGCTGAGTTAACACACCTATAATATTCAAATAACGGAATTTAACAAAAAAAGGTGATACAGATGAATGTCCATTTTGTATCTGTGTATTCAAAATGGTTAGGATAGATATATAGTTACATTCTCTTAATGAATAAAGGGATTTGTTCTAATGGTGTTTGTAAATAGGATATCATGTCCACATCTTGTACAACAATTAACCACTAGGAAGAATGTATGCAATGTGTTAATTATTGAATCTGTCCTACTAATTTGGTTTGAAACTGTCTCATTGCTGTTTGTTTCTCAATAAAATTATGGGGGAAAAAAGATACTGATGAACAAGGACTTCCAGGACTGCTTCAGAAAGTGGCAAGAATAATAGAATACGGGTGTTCAAACAGAAAGGGAGTAGGACTGGCCAGATAGCTCAGCGGATTAAAGCACGTGCTTGGGCAGATGCAGGGTTCAATCCCTGGCTTTCTCGGTCTGACTGTCTGTTATACTCATCTCTCAGCACCGAGATTATGTCCTTCACTGACAGGATTCCCCAGCATTCCCAGTTTTTAGCTTTTGCTACCAAACTTTGTTACCTTCAGAGTTCCCAAAGATGACCATGACTTTTTAGTCTCACATGCTTTCTTTACCTCAGTTTCTGTCTTATTCTCTTCCTTCCATTAATGTATATTCTACCAAAAAGAAAAAGGAGGGTAGAATCATTGGACTCAAGTGGCTTCTTGCTTAAAAGACGAAGCCTTGGAAACATATGACTACATTAACGTGTGAACTTTGCTAGCCCTTTATCTTGGTTCTTGTGAATAATCTAAAATAACTGTTAAGACAGATAAGTTAACTAAATATAATTGTCATAAATCCTCAGAAATGTTTTAAAAGTATTTGAGTCAGCAGTCAATAAATATAAACTCAAATTCTCACATTTTCCTAAAGTCTATATGAAGACAATTCATTTGGGTCTATTTAATGTGTTTTCATAAATTATCGATATGTATAATTATACATATGCACAGTTTAAAATTTCTTTCTTCCTGAACATCACCAAATGTAAGGTTACTAAGAGTTAAAATTTCTAATGTATTTTTTCATATTCAAAGATAAAAAGAAGTAGGACCATAAATTGCAAAATTGCGGATGCTAGACTTGAACTTGCAATCCTCTTGTCTCAGCCTCCCAGAGTGTTGGGATAGAGCAGTGTCACCATACCCGGGTCTAAGTTGGTCTCTAAGTTAAATTTGTTATTATTTATCCTTATAGACTGGGAGTGTGAGAGAGAATGTGGAAAAGACTATTTTCAATATAGAATAAAGAATATCACATTTTGAGACTTTAGTTTGGTTAAAGAGCAAAAATAAATCTGGAACAGAAGAAATATTGGGCATTGCTTTCTCCCATTCTGCGGTCCTCCCAGCTCAGCCTCCCACATGTGCCACAAGGCCTGGCTTAAGACATTGTTTTTGAGAATGAAGTTAGCTCTATGGGTCAAAGCACAGAGCCAGCAATTAAGCAGCCAAAGTGTTAGAGCAACTGAATATGTGACTATTTCCCTTGCAGACATTCTAAAAATAAAGCTGCATCTAGCAGTCATGTCATCTGATGCTCCTTCAGTGTCACAGCTGATGCTGCCATGAGAAATGAGAAGCAGTTCCCAGGTTGCTGAGCCCAACTCAGGCCTTTGCCATTGTATTCCTCTGTATCTTCCTACAAGCCATTCATTTATGAGCAGCTATCTATTATGGTCCATAGCATTTTCATCTAAGATTGACAGTTGCAAAGGATGCATTATGTTGAGATTGCTCTAAATTCTGAAAATCTTTTTTTTTTCTTTCTTAACAAGCTCTGGCAGGTTTTATTAATGTAAGATTCTGCTTGGTTTATTTTTCACCAGTCTGTTCTGACATGCTTCTAAAGATATCAGAATCACCTGGATCCATGATTGCCAGCGTGCACACTCTGTAGTATTTTCTACATGTGGTGCCCAGTTCGATATTATTGCCGCTATAGTGATGGACACCAATTCTGGCCAACATGGCATAGTACTCTGTTTCAGATTTCCTCAAGGCTGGGCAGTTGTTGGCAAGGACGATCAATTTCTCTTTGCCTTGTCTGATCATCTTCAGCATCTGCTTGTAACCCAGCGTGTATTTTCCACTTTTCATAAGAAGTTGGAGCCTAGACTTGATGGACTCCAGAGTCTTTTTCGTTTTCTTTGTGGCCACCATCTTCCTTCCTTAGGTGCGGAAGGCCCTCAACCAAGAGCCGCTAAGATGGCCAGGGAGCAAGAAAGGTTAAATTCTGAAAATCTCTCCATTCCCCTTCAAAGCTTTGTCTCTTTGAGAAGGGGAAGTAAAAAGATGTATTATGTACACGTACCAACTCCCCACGATTAAGCATTATGTACCGAAAGCATGTACTAATAAAATTAAATTTACAAAAATCAATCCACAGTATCGAGTGGTCTTGCATTTACGCGACGCGGTGAATTCACCAGAGATTTAAGATGCTCTTGCCTTGAAATCGGTCCGTCGTTATTAATTTCCTGCTATAGCAGCTCTCCCTGAGGCTTGCAGTGCACCTTGGCATTTGGAATGCACCGCTTGGCATACTTGTTCCAGGTCACCACCGGCTAGTGATGCTTTCCGTTATTCCCAGACACTCCTCAGCTACGTTTGGTTTATTTCCTACAGACGGTACCAATTCGCGACACCTCAGCATCAGGGAGAGGAGATACAGCTTCTCTGCTCAACAAATGTTCAGTGAGGCCAGCCAGCGACTCGGAGATTCATAGCAAATCCTTTACCTTGCTTCAGTGGGCACCTGCTGATTCAGAGCCTATTTGTCCCTCAGAGCCCACTGGAGAGTCCCCAGCTCGCAGCGGGTAAGGAGAACCTGGAACCTGCAGCCTCGCTTCTTAAATCTGAACACCTGGGTTAAGAACTCAGTTTCCACCGCTGCGCTCCCGGTCTTTGGGCTGCGTTTGCCCGGGTACGGCGTCCGTCTCCCAGGCAACCACGTTAACTTCCGGCGGAAATTGCGGTCCTCAGGGTGAGAGTCCCTTTTGCTGCAGAGTGACCACAGCCGGAGTGCTGCAATATGGAGCAAGAATATCCACTGCTGGCCACACCTACGCGTTCCAAAGTCCGAATTCGTCATGACCTGACTGTGGCATCTCGCTGGAGGGAGCCCACATCACTGGGGCCTGAAGACTCGGGGCTGAGGGCTCCACAGGGTCCTGTGAAGAAAGGCTCTACGACTGCAAGGCCACCTTCCCTTCGCCGCCAAGCTGAAGCTGGAAGCGGAGTTCGGTGGGGCCCGGCCCCCGGCTGCTGCGCAGCAGCTCCTGCAAGCCTCGGCCCCGGAGCCTGAGCCGAAGGCGGTGGTGGTGCCCGGGACGGGGAGCGCGCTGCGCTGGTTCACATCCGCGGTCCTGTATGCCACTTTCCTGGGGCTGGTGAGAGCTGGGGCTGCAACCCTTCAGGGCCCAGAGGATCTCTGCAGAGAACGCGACTTTCCCATTCGGAGTCGCATGTTGGTCCCTGCACACTGTTACCTTGGCTCAATAGCCATCGGCCTGAGCCTCGGTTTCCACAACTAACACGCGGGCTCAGCCGTGGTCAGGAGGGCTGCTGCCAAGTGGGAAGCTGATTTTCCTAGCATGTTTTTCAATCCATCTAGAACTTTCTTTCATGTTCTTGGTTCAATGGGGAGATACAATAGGGGTTGGCAAGTCTCTAGTTCATGCCAAATTATTACCCAGGAAAGTGATTTTTCTCTTCCTAAAGGCCTGGCATAATTCAGCCAACTACTTACTTTTGTAGTTAGAAATTGACCGTAGGGGGAAAGTGACCTGGAGACAAGAACATCTCTTACCCTGTCCACAATTCCCATTTTATTCAGGACTTCATATAGTGAAGTGTTGTGTTAGGCTTGGGCAAAGTGCAGTACTAGAAGCACTTTCTTCCAAATCCTTGGGCTGCCTCTCAATTCAGTATTTGTGGAAAATTTCCTCTTATAGCTGAATGACTGTGAGCCTTGGGAGTTTGGCTTAGTGGTTACCTAGGATGTGTTTATGGGGCATTCTTGTAGCAATCTCCAGTGATAAAGACACTAGTTTCTCTGAACAAGTTACAAAACATACACCAGTGAAGGTTTAAAGAATCCACCTAGCATGTGAACAGAAATAGAAGAAAAGAAGCTGCATAAGAGAAATAGCCTGATTAGTGGCAGCTTAGTGCTTACCTTACTTAGATGTCTGAATTGTGCAGTCTGTGATTGGTTGAAAGATTGACTGACATGTTTGGCCAAAGCTTAGTCATTTGTTGTAAAAAGATACTAGAGTTAGGTTGCATTTTTTCTTTATTTTTTTGTACTCATTATTCACTTTATTAAAAATCAATAATGATATAGCAAATTAAAAATTGTGGAAAGTACTGAAATGTGAAAGATAAAACATGTAGATAGAGTGAATTTTAGAAAAATATTTCTGAAATAAATACATAACAGATTAATAAT